GGGCCTCTCACTGTTGTGGCCTCTCCCATTTGCGGAGCACAGGCTCCGGACGCGCAGGCTCAGTGGCCATGGCTCACGGGCCCAGCCGCTCCGCGGCATGTGGGATCTTCCCGAAACGGGGCACGAACCCGCGTCTCCTGCATCGGCAGGCGGACTCTCAAGCACTGCGCCACCAGGGAAGCCCTAAACTGTATTTTTAAATAAGAGTAGTCTTTGCATTTTTAAAGGTTATGTAGGTCTGTAATATCATATAAAACTAGGACTTCAATCTGAGAATCATCTCACACATACTATCTTTTCAAAGGACACTAAACCTACTTACCACTTTGAACAGAAGTAGAAAGCTTTGCATGACCCAAAGGAAAGGATGAATATTACTGAAGCAATATATATCTATATACAAACATATTTATATATATGAATGTGTATACTAATGTATTGAGAAACTGTATTTTGAGTTGCATTATCAAATTAATTGTGCAACACGTAGTCATTCATATTTGAATCGTATGATTCACAAAATATACCAAATTTTGACATTTTAAATACTCATGCTAATTAAGTGCACTTGTTAAAACTATTGACTATGGAAATTAACGAGTAAGCCTTTGAAAAAATGCCCAGTTTCACTGGAAATGTTTGCATGTACAATCTGCTGTTACATAAGTCAGATGAAGAGTTGGGTTCTTGAATACTGCAGTGGCAAACTAGTCACCAAAATGATTATAATACTATGCTTATTTATAGAGCAAGATGAAAAGATCTAGTTAAGGGTGGAGTGACTAGATATCAATTATCTTTAAGTGTTATATTTAAAATTTTCCCACATGTATAGTAATCATAACATTGAACATACCACTTAACATGTGGGAAAAACACTGTAATAGAGGTATTAAATTGAGCGAGAATTTTGTAGTGAATACTGGAAATGATTAATTATAGTGGGGCATTTAATTGGGAAATATTCTTGTAGTCCTTTTTTTTCAGGAGTTATTAAAACTACACAGAAGAAAATTATTCTATAAAAAATAATGTCTTTAATTTATGAAGCATTACTCTAGGTTGATTGGTCTGGGAAGATTAAAGATGAAAAAATGTAAGCACATTCACTCAGAAAGTTTTGGTTTTGTGGTTGCTGGTATATTTGTCTGCAGTAATAATAGAATTTGACAGCAGAGGCCAGTTGATGGCTCACATTCTATGAAATGTACTGGATTGGAGCCTACAGAATGAATCACTATTGGTGAACATTGTCAAGACAGGAATGGGCTATGGTTTTGTCCCTAGAAGGTCTATCTATATAACTATCATCCATTTGTTAGAACGCATGTTTTAGACAGAAAACATCCTAATATCAGAATAATGCCAAAGGAGAGGAAGACACATTTTGAAAATGTATGGATATGGCTTCTCTTTTTACGCATTATGAAAGGTGGTATTATTTGTTAATATAGCAAAGCAAAAGAGCTGAATGATCTTTGTTGATGCTTTGTAGCATAGTTGTGAAAAATAGGAAGTTTAATGTACTTTCAAGTAGTAGTTTTTTTGTTTTTTGTTTTTTGTTTTTTTGCGTTACATGGGCCTCTCACTGTTGTGGCCTCTCCCATTGCGGAGCACAGGCTCCGGACGTGCAGGCTCAGCGGCCATGGCTCACGGGCCCAGCCGCTCCGCCGCATGTGGGATCTTCCCGGACCGGGGCACGAACCCACGTCCCCTGCATCAGCAGGTGGACTCTCAACCACTGCGCCACCAGGGAAGCCCGAGTAGTAGTATTTTTAATTTAGCAACATATCCAAAATAAATTATGTGTCTCAAATACTAATGTATTTATAAGATCCTGACTCAAGTGTTCGCTACTTGTTCTTCCTTGGGGTGGACATTGGTTGGTTCCCAGCCTTCAACTATGACATCAAAACACAGTACAGTTATACATAAATAGATTCCTTGATGAAAATGTAGTCATGTATGTTTAACATGTTTACTGAAACATACATAAATTTTCCCCATTATATCAAGAAATGTAACACATATGGCTTGACTATACTGTTTTTACTAAAGAAAATTTACAAATGTTAAAAAAATTGTGGTATTTTTCATTATCTTATAACTTTAATTTTTATTTGTGAGAAACATTTTTCCACTAGTTCAGTATTCAGGAAACTGATCAAGAAAATATAGTACTTAGCTTATAATGATGAATATTTATCCTCCGTAATGAGGCCTATCAGATTTGGATATATGTCTTTGTTAATAAGTCTTATTTCCTTATAGAAAATAAAGTGTATTGAGAATTAAAGAATTAGACATGTGGGTAGACAAGCTGACCTTTAAGGTCTCTATCAAGCTTGAAGTTTGACGTTTCTGAGATTTTTTTTTTTTTAACTGCCTTTTTTTTTTTTAACGGTAACATTGTAAATCTATAGAAACCCCAAACAAAATGCAGTTTTGGTTTTACAATAATTAGCTTTGAAACATAACCTTCACAGAAAGTCTTTTATTATCTTATATAAGAGTCCATTAGGGTATAAAATCAATATTTTAGCCACTCAAGTGGAGCATTTCATTTTTCTCAATATTTTTGAGAGAAGCCACTTTCAATTTAACTTTTTTTCTTGCCTAATGGAATCTTATACATAAATAAAATAACTTTTCTAAATCATTAAAACCTAATAGAAAATTAACAGGGTTATGATAGATTGCTTTTCCTTTGTGGTGAAGAGACAAGGTAGAGCTAATAGTCTTGAGTGCCCTTAGGACACATGAAGTACCATCTACTTTCTCAAGGGAGGATATTTGAAATTAAACATGCATGAATTATCTACTCCACCTGGGGGAGATCTGACGGCCCTCAGCAAGTGTTGAACTTCGGGGCTACAGTTCTCTGCCCTCCACTATTCACCCCACATTCAAGAAAGGAAAGCATCCTTTAGCAATAGATCTACTTATGAGAACAATCTCAGTCACATAGTTCCCAAAAGGGAGGCAACCTTAAAAGTGATGATAGAATATTGCTGACACTAGTAGACACTTTGGGGCATGTTTTTGGTATAAGATAGTTGTCACTACCTTCTCAGTAGATTCTCAGCAGACTACTATACTGGTGGTGGTCACAGAATGGGTAAGTAAGCTTAATTTGAGCTGCATTAGTTTTCCATTGCTGCGTAACAAATAACTCCATATTTAGCAGCTTACGACAATAAAACACTTATCATCTCGCACAGTTCCTGTAGATTGGACATTCAGAAGCAGCTCAGCTGGGTTCTTCTGGCTCAGGGTCTCTCATGAGGTTGCGGTCAAGGTGTCAGCTGGGGCTGCAGTCATCTAAAGGCTTGACTGGAGCCAGACGATTCACTGTCTAGGTGGCTCCCTCACATGCGTGGCAAGTGGGTGCTGATTGTAGGCAAGAAGCCTCAGTTCCTTTCCATAGGGCTGCTTGAGAGCTCTCATGACAGTCTGGCTCTCTCCCAGGAGTGAGCAATCCAAGAGAGAACAAAGCACAAGCTAAAGTGTCATTTATGACCTAGCCTCAGAAACCACATGCAGTCATTTCTGGAATATATTATTGTTTACATAATTCAGCCCATTTAAAGTGGGAGGGGACTCCATGAGTGCACGGCTCCAGGAGGTAAAGTTATTGGGGGCCATCTTGGAGCCAGACTATCACAGCAAATGGTAATTTTTCTTTTGGGTTTTTATAGAGCTGGTCTTGGGAAAATAAGTTTTTTGTTTTATTTATTTATTTTTTTAAACATCCCTTTAGCTCTCCTCTCTGTGCCTCTTTGAGCTGTACTTTATTTGTAGAAGCCAGTACTTCCAAGTTGACTCCTTCTCCCTCAGGGGTGCCCTTCCTGTCCTTCCTTGCTCACAAATTCAATAAATATTTGAGGACAAATTGTGTGTCAATCACTGTTTGTTCACATCAGTGAACAAAATCCTTCCATTCATAGAGCTTACCTTTTACATACTAGTAGCTTTTCATAATGAGTTGTCTCCTATGATCCATAATTTCTGGTTTGTCCTATTAGCATTCTGTGGGATCTGATGCTATTTCCAGGTGATAGTGTCAGAACTGATTTGACTTGTAGGACACCCAGCTGGTGTCCAAGGATTGCTTGGTGGTGTGGAAAACCCCACTTCCCTTGACCCCTCACATTGGAATCGGGCCCAGAAACTTTAGTAAACAAATTTAAGGAAAGAGGTCAATGATTGGCGAAATTCCCTTAAAATAACAAGTTTGTTTTAATAGAGGTATTCTGTGATCTAATTCAAAAGAGTACGATGGAACTTTAAGGCCCCGAAGCAGAGAGAGATCACAGCAGGGGAACTCACTCATTTGTGCCAATTTCACTGCTTTAAGCCTACTTTTGTTCAATGGAAAACATAACCATCAAGCTATCTCACTCAGCACGGTCTTTTCCACAATGTGAAAATGCAAGAGTGGGGGAATACGTGAATTTTAAGCTTAAACAGGCAAAAACATTAATATAGTTATCACCATGAGCACATGAGGAGTGTCAGAGATTAAAGTAGCTAATTTTGCCATTTTCTTTCAAAATTGACACAGTGAGATTTGAATTTCCCCAGATATGGTGGAAAGACTTGGATGACCATTTCTATGTGTGTTTATAGCCTAGCCAGTGTTTCAGGGATTCTGGCATTTATATCTGAGCTTGGCTCTAACACGTTTTTCCATGGGACTTATTTTTTTTTCTGTTTTAAAACTGTTTGGGCCAATAAATCTTTCTCCAGATGTCAGATTGGTCAACACCAAGGAGGTAAATGGAACGTAATGACACTCATCAAGTTGATGATGTGAATGATTTATTGGACCCAATCATTTAGCACTTTCATAAAGTCAATATTAGCTAAAGAAACTCTGGGCTCTTATTACGGTAAACTCTACTGTCAGCATTCAGTGACTTATTACAAACCTGTGGCTAGGATTAGGATATTATAAATGGGGGACAAATGGAAGGCTCATTAATATTTTATACCCACAGGTGGAAGACATGCAGTGGGCCAATAGAGAACATACTCACCCGGCGTCTGTCTGCAGCCTGCCCTGTAAGCCCGGGGAGAGGAAGAAAACGGTGAAAGGAGTTCCTTGCTGCTGGCACTGCGAGCGCTGTGAAGGTTACAACTACCAGGTGGATGAGCTCTCCTGTGAACTCTGCCCTTTGGATCAGAGACCAAACATCAACCGTACAGGCTGTCAGCTCATCCCCATCATCAAACTGGAGTGGCATTCCCCCTGGGCTGTGGTGCCTGTGTTCGTTGCCATATTGGGAATCATCGCCACCACCTTTGTGATCGTGACCTTTGTCCGCTATAACGACACACCTATTGTGAGGGCTTCGGGACGTGAACTTAGTTACGTGCTCCTAACGGGGATTTTTCTCTGTTATTCAATCACCTTTTTAATGATTGCAGCACCAGATACAATCATCTGCTCCTTCCGACGGATCTTCCTAGGACTCGGCATGTGTTTCAGCTATGCAGCCCTTCTTACCAAAACAAACCGAATCCACCGAATATTTGAGCAGGGGAAGAAATCTGTCACAGCACCCAAGTTTATCAGTCCAGCATCCCAGCTGGTGATCACCTTCAGCCTGATCTCCATCCAGCTCCTGGGAGTGTGTGTCTGGTTTGTTGTGGACCCACCGCACATCATCATTGACTATGGAGAACAGCGGACTCTAGACCCGGAGAACGCCAGGGGAGTGCTCAAGTGTGACATCTCTGATCTCTCGCTCATTTGTTCACTAGGGTACAGTATCCTCTTGATGGTAACTTGTACTGTTTATGCCATTAAAACAAGAGGAGTTCCAGAGACTTTCAATGAAGCCAAACCTATCGGATTTACCATGTATACCACCTGCATCATTTGGTTAGCTTTCATCCCCATCTTTTTTGGTACAGCCCAGTCAGCAGAAAAGGTAAGTGGCAAGAAATGCATTGCCAACCCTTTTCCTGGATTTAACTTCTTCCTTTAGGATGCTGTCCCTTCTTTCTTTTTGGTTCATTTATATTCTCTCCAGAAGCTTCAGTGTTTTATATATATATTCAAGGTCACTTTGCTCTGAATACGTGTTGACTAAGGCTGATTTTCCATGCAAAACACTTTAATGTGTCCTCCTCAGCAAGGTGGAAGATTGACAGAGCTCACATCACTTTCTGGGTCCCTTTTCCCAGTTCTGTTATCAAACGTTAAAAGAGGAAGGGAGAAAGGGCAGACATGATTCACAGGGCTGAGCTATTCCAGAGGTTTCTCAGTGCGTGACAAATGCCTCCTTTCCCGGTTCTAATGATACTCTCAGAAAAAGCTATTCCTTAATAATTACGATGGTTTTAGTCACAGAAGCAAACTGCGACAGCAAAAACTAAGTGGCTTAATTCAATCTGAACCGTCGTACTATTTCTCTTTAGCTCCCATTCTTATTATTTTTCCACATGTGGAGGATGGTGGTGAGGGATGAAAGAAGCAGCAATGGGCGATTATATAATGCAGTTTATATTTTTTTAGAAGTTGAAGATCAATTGAATTTCCTGAAATAATTTTCTTTTGTTACTAATCTTCCATTAACTTCACCACACAAAACACTGCATGTAAAGAACATCTGTGTGTGAAAGGAAATACATGCTGAACTGGATGTATGTGTTTCTATGTACAGAAAAGCAGAGAACTAACGTTAACCATGACTTTCAAGGTTTGGGTGGTGTGACGGAGACAACCAGTTTGAAAAACAAAGGCAAATGCTACCATTCTAAAGGGATAGCTCTTCAGCCCTAATGTGCATATGAGAAAGTTCTTCTCTCAGAGTGAGGATGTAAAGATTATTCCATCCTCCATCATCAGAAGTCGTGAGGAAGTCAAAACATCCAGCGGGGGTGGGGGGGAATTATATTCCCTAGGTTCTAACATTCCAACTATCCCACATGACTCTTAAAATGCCAACTAATTCAGAGGAAAAAATACTCAACAAGGGCATGGAGAGCTCATTAGTATGAGCATTCATCCCTTACTCGATCAATGTGGTCTTCAACTTTGAAAGCCAAAAAAGTACTTTAGCAAACCTGCTGCTGAATAGAGCAAACTTGCCATGGGTTCCAGACCTGTGACCTCTCTTGACTTGGCTGGCTGATGAAAGTCCACGAATATTTTACGTAGGACCATGCTCGTGGCGGGAAAATAAAGTAAGACAGTTTGGGACACGAAACTTAACAACTAGAAAACATTATATCTTGACATACACAGATGGGAATTTATTAGGATCAAACTTGTAAATTTAACATAGGAAGGGATGTGTCGCTCAAAGTTTATTAGGTCTGTTTTGACATGGTTAGTTGGAAGAGTCAGGGAAAAATATTGTTTTTCAGTGTCTAGAAATGTCCACATTATGTGAATTATTGATAACATCAACCTAACTGGTACTTGTATTTGTGTTTGAACCTAGAACTGTCTTTTTTAACATATTGTTTTATCTAGGGAGGGCCATAGGAAGTTTATTTTGTTTTCTTGTGGACAACAAATATTTAACCAAACAAAATCTCCTGAGTTCTGATATCTAATTCCCTTTTCTTTTGTTTTCTCTTCCTTTACATTTTATAAAAGACAGTCTACTCTTACTTTTCATATTGTGACGTCAAGGATCTGGGGGAGCAAATATAAATGCTAATAAGATGTTATTTCTATTCAGGGAACTCTTTCAGTGACTCAATTTTTAGAAGAAATTTTTAGAATAAATAAAATCGTGGTCCTACATCAAGCTATTGGGCGCCTTCATAGTAATGCAAACATGCATCATAGTAAGTTTTTTTTAAGGTAACTGAAAAAAAAACAAATGACCACTGTCTCTCAGATCAAGATCTCTGCAGAGTTGCAGCTGTCTCCTGAGGAGCAGTGATGGAGACAGTAAGAGTTTCAGGATGAAATGGACACATGAATAAGCCAGGGCTGGAGGCTGCCCAGTGCTGGGCCTGTGGGAGCTGTACATCCATCTGAAAACCTGGAGTGTATGTACATACTTACCGGTGTGGATCTATCAATGCCTCCAGAGAGATGACTGAATGCTAGCCAGAATCCTTTTTTCTTTTTTAGCTTTGTGCAATCAAAGTAAGTCAGAGAAACACACTGTAAGACAGATTTATAAAATATGTTAATTGGAATTTATTTGTATTCATGATATGATTGAATGTGGAAATGAGTGAAGAAATCAAGAAGGAACACTAATTCTAGGAATTTTCAGAACATTGGAAAGTGCTCAAATTATGTAGTTAGGCTTGGAGTTGCTGAATTTAGACAAGCTCTACATCAAGAGCTATTATTTGATAAGTAGCTGAGATTTGCTACTGAAGTATTTTGTGTAATACACTTATGTGTCATCCTAACACTTCACCTTAAAACTTGCTTCCTGCTATTCTCTGTCAAAGTATCTTTAATTACTCAAAACAATACACAGAATGTTTGAGAGTGTTTATTTTTTCATGTTGCTAAAATTATTGACACAGATATTAAAAGTGAATACAACTTTTATATCTCTAAAGGCAGGCTTTCTCTAAGTTTTCTTGACTTTGGAGGACCAAAGAGCTGGTCATTCTCCTTTATAATGCTCAGCCAGCTAACCCCATGTTATCAGCTTGAAGTGTGTGCAACAGTCAGGAGGCACACACAGCCATTAATTCAGCAGATCCTTATTGAGCATTGTGTCCAGCATTGTGCTAATTATTGAACCATGTCAGTCAGTATCCCCGAGCCTTCCTTGCACAAAGGCGCAGCCTGTCTCCCAGCTGCTGCTGCCTGATGCCTGTCATCACCAGCAAGTGCCAGGTTCCAGGGCAGGAGAAGATCAGGCTCAAGGGCAGGGGGAGATGGTGAGGAGTCAGAGGTGAGATGAGAATGCGAAGAAAAGAACTATGCATCCTGTAACTATGCATCAGTGACATAGAATTTATAACACGGAAGAGCAAAAGTTCTTCCAGTATGCATTTAATTATGTTTCGTGGACTCATGTCTACAGGAAAAAAACCCATCTAGCCACACAGGTCTCTTTGAAATTACAAGAGAAGTAGGAATAAAAAGTAAAATTAGTTGAATAATTTAGACAGATGTTTTAGAAAACCTCTGAGTAAAATCAAGTTATAAAGGGATATTTGTAGCATTCATGAGGACAGACAGCTCTCCAAAGTATGTCTTCATCCAATGATAAAACACCATTTAATTTTCCCACATTCATTTTTTTTCAGATTTCAAAATCAAGATGAATCATGTTTTATCCTCTAGATTTTAATGACATCATTTATTAGCTTTATATCTACTACGGCATTTTACTAAATCATCGTTTAAATGCACTTTCTTTTTTCCTATAAAAAGGTGGTGTGAAGAAAGGTCAGACACACTGTGGCACAGACAGGGACCAACTCAAACTTTCATAATTGGGTTGAAAAGACAAAAAATTAAAATATAATTAATGTAATAGTCAGGAAGAGAATCCTCAGGGATGGTTAGGGGCTGTTAGGATGGCAGAAATCTCTTAAATACATATCTTACCATCTCTAATTGGGATCATAAAGTCTAGATAATCAGACAAAGGTTATGACACTGCCAAAGCTCCAAGGAGCACAGTGTGTCAACCAGAGCATAGGATGGAAACAAAACAAAACACCCTCAAAACGGAAAAGAAAATAAAACTCCAAACTGTCAAGCACCCCATATGTCCCAAACCAGCCTTTCTTCTTTCACCTTCTGGATAAGTCGCGTAGCCTCCATTTAGTAGCTTAAATAAAAAACCTGGAGTTATCTTAGACCCCTCCCTGTACTCACACTCACCTCCTCTCACCTTCAAATGTCATCCTTTATCAGTTCATGGAGGGTAAGCCATGTTTGTCTGATATATATCTGAATGAATGCATCTCTTAACATAGAGACTTTCATGTAACGTATTCTCAATAAATGCCTATTGAATGAGTAAATAGAGTCCCTTGCACAATAATGACATACTATAATAATAAAAATGCTTATTATTTAAGTTAGAATATGGCATAATGGTAAACTTATATAGTCATCATATTGTGATCCCCATTGCAACTTTTTTTTTTTCTGAAAAATAAGTTTTCTCCTTTGAATGATGGGCCAAATACATTTCTTTTTAAAAATTTTGTCAGTATCACTTATTCTGATATAGGACTGCTAAATATTTAAGGGGAAATACGAAAAGGAATTCTAATAGCCGTCCTTAGTTCTGTCTAAAATACACAAAACAAAGGAGAATTGATGCTGTTTTCCAGGTGCTTCTGCCATGTCAAAAGTATCTCCCTTATTCTTTTACTCTGTCAATTATAAGGTGAATGAGTGGAGTAAGGAAGAGCATAAGCTCTGGAGTGGGAGGGTGTGGGTTCAAATCCTGCAGCTCTGCTAAACTAGCTGAGAAAATTCAGTTAAGAGGCTAAATTTGTGCAGATAGAAATACATTTCCTGGGGAATGCAAACTCAGATATAAAGCAGCATAAAGCATTTGCCTGCCATCTGTGCCCAGCCCTATTCACAAACTAAAGCAGACTTGAGTTCATACCATCTAGGAAAGGGCAGGAAGATGACTGACTTAAAAAATCCTCTCGTTTCATTATGGTGTATTTTTGTATTAATAGATACCTCATGGTAGTTTTGCTGAGAGTTATATGCTATGAGTCATGAGGCATGTTTAGCACATAATAGGCAATCAATAGATACTGTCTGTTATTACAATTAGGCTGTATTTCACGCGGGCAGGGATCTTATTTTATTTCGCTCACCATCATCTCCTTGACACCTAGCATAAAACCGTGCCCGGAATGGGTTCTCCAAAAATATTTGTTTAATGATTGAATGCATTTAAAATTATCCAGATAATTGCATCAATTTCTCCAGCCGTCTGTAGAGCATCCCAACCAGACATGTTTT